CCGTCACAATTGCATTAATCTTTTCAAGACCAATTTGCAACAAAACATTCTCCAGATCATTAAAAATTACTTCTGATGTTTGACTTCTTCCTTGTGTATCTATAATTTTAACAAGCTCTGATCACCGATCTTTACCAATAGCCATAAAATTAACAAGATAATCTTGACGAATATTTGTTCAACCGTCAGTGGCAACAGTAATCCATGTAGATTTACATATAAATTGATTGATAAATGTTTGAACATTTGTATGAACTTCATCAAGAATATTATTAGAAAGCTGTTTTCTTGATGGAATACGATATAGATTATTTATAGAGTAAATGAATTCCTTAAATTTTTTTGCATCTACAAGAGAAAGAGGTGCGCCGCCTTCAATTATACCTTCTAATAACAGTTGATTGGATTTGATTATATCATATGGTAATTGTTGATTGCTACTTTCACAATTTGAAACTGACATAGAAGGCATAATTGATATTTCAGATTGAATGTCTTGTTGATCCTCCGTATCATGAGAATGTTTTTGTTGTTGAAAATTTTGAGCATTGATAAGATAGTTTCGAACTTCTAAAGGAATGCTCGTACATTTTTTAATATGAGAACCCATTACTGCAGCAGAACCAGATATAGGCTTATCAAGATTACAAAATATGCATTTGGCTTTAAGCCTTTTATTGGATGAAATGCCTGCCAAAGAGGGCCTAACGGATGACCAGTGGAACCAACTGGAAGTTCGCGAAGCAAATGTCGAATTTGCAAATTTGGTAAAGGCCACTTTGATATTGTTGTTATTAAATATGTTATTATGTTCAAGCAATCGATCTTTTTATTTAATCATATAAAAAACAATTTTATATATAAATATGCGTAATCGGTATATGTAATTGGTATACGTAATTGATATATATAGTTTACTTGTAATTGATAACTTGATTACTTAATAATATGTAATAATTTATAAAAATATATAAGGGTTAAATTTTAGCTATCGATTACATAATTATTACATTACCCATCTCTACTGGTAACTCAGGTTTATGTTTGTAACCCTGAGCTGAGTCGATGCTGTAGTAAGATTAAAATTTAGAGATTTTTAAGACTTTAAGTCGTTGAATACTTAATTAATTTCAGCGAATTTTTTTATTTATTTATCATAATTCTATAAGTTAATAGAATTTAAATGATTTTTTTTTATCGAATTTAGTTATATAGTCGTTGAGAAAAAATTTTTTAAAAAAAGGCTAAAAATATTTGAAAAAAGCGAAAAGCCGTAGTAAAATTTTTTTTTTCAACTTTAAGCGAAGATTTCTCAACGATTATTTAACCAAATCTGATGGAAATTTTTTTATTTTAATTATATTAGATTATAAAATTAAAATAAAAAATATTATAGAATTTGGTTCGTTATTCATCGAAGATCTTCATATAAAATTTTAGTATCAAAAAAGTATATATATATCTGTTGTAATTTTTTTTAAACATTAAATAAACATTTCTCATTTACTACATGTCCGAATTTGATAAAAAATTTTATTTCGATTCTGCAAACTTGTAGAGTTAAATAAAAAATAATTTATCAAATTTGGTTAAATAATCATTGAGAAGCCTTCGCCTAAAACTAGTTTTTGCTTTTTTTTCCTGATTTTTAACCTTTTTTTTTAATTTCAGCGAAGTCTTCTCAACAACTATCAAACCAAATTCAATAAATTTTTTTGATTTAAAATAAATAAATAAATAATCGCTGAAATTAGTTAAGGATTCATTGAGGAATGTTGGCTTAAAGTAAAGCATCTAAATTTTAAAAGGGTTTTCATGGACTAAGCTGATAAAAGTTTAGCCGGCTTGGTCGGATTTCTTAATTATGCAACTCTCGTCATCCGCCGACCTAGGGAATAGACTAGGTTCCAAACTAGTTAAGGGCAGGGTGTAACCATTTCCAAATTCATATAAATAGATTATAGATCAACTTTGTGTAATAAATATCATATGACATTAGTAATCTTTGTACTACCAGAAAAAAGCATATAGCGTTCAGAGAAATTTTGGTTATATATGATGTTGATTTTTTTTAAAGCAATACATATTGTACAACTTCATTATTATAAATAAACTATTTAAACTACATATTATGTAAATTTTAATACAATTAGGTTAAGACATTAAAAAGTTTTATTAGAAGCATTTTTTTATTTACTATGAATATACATGTAGATCATATGAAAATGATCTATATACGCTAAATTAGTTATAGTTATTGTACGGGTCTGACATAACAACCCGTGCGTCACCTAATATATTAATTATACTGATCAATTAATAAAATTGATTATCATAATAATAAAGCAGTTATCAATTGTAAAAGAAATTTTTTAGCAATTTATTTTATATCTTTCTTTTTTTCATTAATATGTCTGACAATTTACAAGAAGTGCAACGATTATCAAACCTTTTTAAAGTCAAAATACTAATAAAAATACAGAAAAATGGCTTCACTATTTAAATCATTTTATAAAAGAGAAAAATATCCAAATTGATAATTGAGATGAACTTGATGAATTTCTCAGTTTGTTTATTGCATGGTTAAATCGAAGAGATAGGACACCTTTTAAAGTAAAATTAATTCATAACTGTTATTCAGTTTTAGCACACTATTTAAGAAAACATAGTGCAATTGGAAGTGGAGTTTGTTTATGGGATAAATATTACTTTCCAAAGCTTTAAAATGTCTTGATGGAAAAATGCAATTCTTACAAATTGATTGATATGATAATACTAGTTCAAGCAATGCTTTAACTTCTGATGAAATTACTGCTTATTAAATTATAAATTTCTCTCTGTTACTAATAATAAAGGATTAATTAGACAAATTTTTTTTTGGCTAACATTATTTTGTAGCCTTTGTGGAGTTGATAGATCTAACTTGCAATATCATGATGTTGAATCTAAAGCAGATGGTAGCTTACAATTATGATTTATAAAGGAAAAAAATAATCAAGATAAAGTTTTTCAATATAGATAATATAGTCATATTGCTACATGTACAGTTCCAATTTCTTCTAATAGACTAAAAACCAGTTTATATCAATAAAAGATATAATTTTATACCTAGCTAAATAGTCAGCTTAATATAAAGATTCTGATCCTCTTTTTTTAGAATGTATTAGAAAAGCATTAGATATTTATTATTAATTTATTTATTTTTAGATTTTTATTTTTTATTTTATTTTTTTATAATTTTATATATTATTTAGATATCCAAAATAGGATTTGGTATAAACCTTCCTGTATGAACAAACTTAAAAAAATATTATACCAAATTGCTACTTATAAAGAAATTAATCTACAGTAGTTAATTATAAGATAACAAACTCTAGTGCAAGATGAATTACTATTATGCTTTTTAAAGCATCAGATACTCCTGAAAATGAATTAATAGCTTTTTTAAGTCATCAATCACATGAAGGTATCAGGACTTATAGTAAACTAGTGGACTATTAACAGTTAAATTCTGTTATATTACTTATACTATTTGCAACAATTAAAGAGAATTTAGAAGAATATTATAATTACTCTGGAGAATCTTATATAATTTATAAATTAGAAAAAATAGTACAAAAACTAGTAAATTTAATTTAAATATATAATTCCAATAAAATTTTTATATTTCTTAACTTATAGTATATTTATATATAAACTAAAGAAAGTGAGTGCCACCAGCACCTCTATTAATTATAATGTTTTTTAATATGATTTGTTTATTATGTTTGTTATTTTTGTTAATATGTAGTTGTTAGTTATATAGAATTAATTATTATATGCTATAAGTGTAATAATTTATAAATTCTAAGGCTAATTATTATATAATTATTGTATAAAGAGTACATTTGAATTTAAGTTTTAAAAATTTTTATTAGTGTTAGTATTATGTAATTAAATTGTATAGTTATATATTTAGTGAAATATATTGATTAAATTATTTTAATTTTGAATAGTATTGTTATGTCAGATTTATTACTGGTGGTTAAACTAGATTTTTAGTTTTATATTACTCCTTCTTTCTATCGAAAGAGAGGAGGGGAGTTCATAGCTTACATGGTAAAATTTAAATTTTTTTTCAAATGAAATATTTTCTGAAATATTCCAGTATTGTTTAAAATATACTATAGCTTGATATGTTTATTTAATTTTTTCACTATGAGAAAGAGGGACACTACCAGTGTCTCTGCTTTTTTTTTTAATTAATGTGGTTAAATTTGTAGCATTTGAATTATTATAATTTTTACTATCAGTTCTCTTACAAACATGCTAATTATTCTAGTGAGCATGTATTGTATAGTTAAGATTGTATTAGTTTTTATCAGAATTATTATGAATTCTACCAGGAGTTAGTATAAATAATTTGCTACAAAACTTTTAGTAATTATTAAGATTGAGCTAGTTTGCAATAAATTTGTAAAATATTTTGTTATAAAACTTATTACAACTCTTTTCTTCTGAGTTGAATTTGGTCAGTTTGTAATTTTTTTGTAAAGTGCATGAGTACTATATAGGTAATCACTTAAATTTGTTATATTTGCAAAACTTATCCAATATAAATATAATAAAAATTCTAAAAAAACTGCTCACGAGTTTTGAAAATATAATGAATTTAGATGATTGCCCATGGGACTAGTGAAACGCACAAAAAATCACATAGTGATCAATCTTAATAAATCTAAAAGAGAGACAATGCAGTACACAATGGTTAAAATTGGTTTGTATTAATATTACAATAATTTTTATTAAGTTACAGTAAAACATTCTTTTTAAAAACTATTTACTATTCCAGTAAATGCAGCATGTAATTAAGGTAATATAAGTTTGTATTGGATTTTTATTAATACTTATCTACTATTCTGGCAATTATGATGTGGTTAGATTGAGTTAGCTTGCATTATAATTTTTTTAATTTTATGTAGTTTAGCTTGAGTTAGTTTGTATTGAAGTTATAATTCTTTAATAATGAATTCTGTTGTAAAGTCTCACTATTTTGATAACTATAGTATATAATTAATATTGAGTTAGTTTGTATTGAATTATTATATTAGAATATTGTGATTTTTACTATAAGTTATTGCAAAAAATTCTTTATAAAAACTTACTATTTTGGTAACCAAAAGTTAAGTAGGTTGTATTGGAATTGTTTTGTATTTTCTATATAGTTGAGTTGGTTTATATTAGAATTATTATAATTTTTATCATGAGTAACTATAAACTTGCTATTCTGGTAATAATAAAAAGATAAGTTAGCTTATATTAGAATTATTATAATTTATTTATAAATTACTATAAAATACCATAACGAACCTATTAATGTTGAGTTATATTGAATATTGTGAATTATTTATATTATGAATTACTGTAAAAAATTTCATGAAAAACTTGCTCACTATTTCTAATATTGTGAGTTACATAAAAAATTTTGTAGCAAATCTTATTATTTTATAACTCAATAATTATGTTATTAACATAATTTATATTTTTGTTAAACAAAGTATATATAATAAATGAAAATTAGTTTAAATGACAACTAAGAATGCGAATAGTA